TGAAACTTTGTTATCATGTCTGCCTACACGAATTTCGCCATCATCAAAATAAGAATTATTTTCACTTTGCTGCAGGAACTGGCTATTGCACGTGGTATAATTGTAGAGCGAAATCTACATGCCTACTACAAGTTGCCCATAAAGCCAGCGCAATATACTATTCCGCAAGAATACCACATTCTACAGTGTCCATACCAAAATACCAGTGCTATACCAACGCCAGAGAATATGGACATCTGTGTGATTATTAACAGTTACAGAGAAGAGATGAAGAATGCAACAACTACTCATACAACAAAGAGTCCTTTGCATATAAAAGTGAAATACCAAAGTGAAATGCCAAGAAAGTATAGAGACGTTCCTAAGCAATTGACGAAGAGACCTAACACGCATCCATATATGATAGTCATTAGACCAATGCGCATAGGCACTGAATCGAATTGTCGCTATGCTAAAAGATTGAAATTGAAGCAATTGCCATACTATGCCGAACACTTGGGATTAGTGAAAAAAGACAACAGTCGAACGTTGGTGCAACAATCACCTTTGCAAAGCGTAAAACCGCCGGACCAAAGAACGGCCAGTGCAAGAGGTAGATTAAATATTGTGGCAAAATTGAAGCCAATCACGGAGCATGTGGAAGAAAATGTAGGAGAAATTGTCGAAAAAGTAGCAGATAACGGTGTAGTCGATTCGAAAGCTGAAGCTTCAATGGATAGCGAAGAGGCCAAATCGCAGTCAGAGTCTGAAGAGGAATACGCTGACTATGATGGACATAACGAAACATTTGAAAAGGAAAGCATTTTAGCACCAAAAACATCAGTTCTTAAATATCTTGGCACCAAAGATGCCATCGAAAGACTCAGTAAGCGCCATTCCAGAGATCGAAAGTTGCCTATGGAAGGTACTGAAAGGTATTTTGCTGAACACAAAGATTTGCAACGAGGTGAAAAGGTGCATGGTTTTCAAAATTATTATCATCGTGATGAAATTTTCAATGATCACATCTTCTACGACGATTTGCAGCAGCAGGGAGAGTACGTTAATCGTGGTCGTGCTTGATTGTATAAAACATAGTTTAACATAAAATAATTGTATATTAAATTATCTCTTTTCTTTGAAATTTTCTTTGTAATTTAATTTAGCCTCCCAAATCGAGAGTGCTGATTAAAAAACCGGTAAGGCCCTTGTTTATAGGCAAGCAAAAACGGCACAAGTCAGCCATACTTAGGGAATACGGAGAACTCTTGGGTAGCCTCATTTGTAAGTGTTGGTTTAAAAGAATCAAACTAATGATAAATGATATTACTAAAGCCATGAATGGTACTTCAACAGCCGGATGTCCGGTTGTTCGCCACTGACGAAAAACAAAACCACATTGGTGGACAAAACAATCTCCCTCATTACGTGAAACTAATAGGACACTGCTCAATAGGGCTAAATCCACGGGAACGTCCGCAGACTGGGAAGACTACAAGGCTGATTTGAAAACACGCGGAACATTAGTTAGCAACGTAAATCCTGGAAAAATTATTGCAAGGGAATAGAGAATTCTCTCCAAGTTGCCATGCAACCTGGGCTATCTTAAGGATCAAGGTAACACATGGATGACTCCTTCTAGATGCATACTTCTCAGTCAAGCAGCTGGTGGAGGATAACGACTTCGCTAATGATAGAAGGCAATCTCATGATTACAAATGTGAAAGTGGAAAACTTTTGGTCCTTACAAATCACTGGGATTCGATGGCATTCA